TATTACGTTTGTATGTAGAAAAACCGGGCCTACAGCGCAATGAATGTATGTGAATCAGAAGGAAACTGAGATGGATAGGTTATGACAAGAATAATGAAGCACCAATTGATTGTGATTACCAGCAGATACACATAATACAAGACAGGACAAAGACAGTGAAGGAATTGTGGGGGTGCTTATAATTTATTACAGCAAATATATCATAAAAAGTAAGAAGGAATTCCAGTATTAACTCATGGGAGTGAACTGAGAATAACAAATATGTGTGAGTATAACCGACTTTTCCATTCTGAATATCATGAATTATAGTCAACTAAGAAAAGAAAATATCACATTCCTGATTTTGAAGTGTCAGGTGAATCTACATTATTGGTATGATTTAGGGATTCATCAATTCCAAGACGCATAAGGAGGATATTAGCGGCAGGAATACAAACGATTTACATGCCTCTATACATTGGTATGATTTATTGATAACAGCCTCCGTTTTGTTCACCTATTTACACCTTACGATGGAACATATATATATCCATGGATATACATACATATATGTATATTTTTTCCTTCTTATATGTGAGATTAGTTCATCAGTCATAGAAATAAGAAGTGTTAACCTGATTAATTATGATGCCCCTATGGCGTCATACAGGAGGAGGATACGAGAAGATGGAACCAAAGAAGCTCAGAATAGTAGCAATGCTACAAATTTTTACGGGGAAAGAAAAAGTAGTTAGCATTATATGCAGATTGGGATTAGAAGATTATTCATTTGGAATAAAAATGTGCTCCCTAACATTACACGATTGTCCATGACGTGTTTTATCTATGCATATATAAAGGGAGTAATGCATTGTTGAATTTGAACTGGCATAATATGAGTTCTAATTTCATATTGAACTTTAATTGTATGTTGCATACGATTAGAAGGGCTGCATTAGCGTATAAATAAGTTTATGCCCTCTTGTTGAAACTCCTATGACTGCAATGGAATAGAGATATGCACATCGGATGAGTACCGCGTAAAATGCTGAGCCCCTGTTCTTATATAGTTTCCTTTATAGTTACATTAATTTTGTGAATGCGTCCTTATGCCCCATCCTCTTCGTGAGTGTGTTTTTTGATTTTTCGATATTTTCACCAGTATCCCCCTTCATGTTGCATTTTTCATGTGTATTTTTTTTCTTTTCTCTGCATTTTTATAAGTGTGTTAATTCATATCGCAACTTCTTTGCATATCAGTCCCCATGCTGCCTATTGCTTGTTGATGCACCTTCC